ATGCTCTGTATTCTCTATTCTTGTCATAGCAATGCTGCAATACAACATACCAGATACGTTCTGTCCCATCATACATACAGTTTGAAACAACAGAAAAATGGTGTGAAGGCAAGAGGTTATGCTGAAAGATCAGCACTTATAAAGATTTCTACTTTAATTTAGCATGTTTCTTTCTGACATGGGTGAGAATACAATTTTTTGCAGGTAGGACAAATATAGTCGGTGAAATTCTTGTTCTCCTGAATTCACTGGGATTTTATCCCAACCACACAGGGAACAGTCACGTAGAATAAGGATTCCTTATTTCCAGTCACTGACAATATTACCATCTTGAGCTAAAGAAGGACCTCTACTACTACAAACATTTCATTTCTTTGTAATATGGTCGGAATTTTTACTCACTGTATATGTTTTTCTTTGATATCATTAGCTTCCTTTATTAACTATCTGAACTTCCAGACATCAGATGTGTGTTTATGTGCATTCAGGGTTTAGTCTTCTGTCTTGTATGAACTGCTGCTGTGAAACTTCTGCATTTTCTGAACATATAAAGCTTTCTTATGTGAAGAACTGAGAGATTTTAGAAAATGCAATAAACAGCTCTTAATACCTTTAGTGTGAATACCCTTTTGGTGCATATTTACCAGCATTTTTTGACTGCACTTGTACATGCAAGGAATTCACACACTTCATGTAATTCAAAGAAATTTTTTGTCATCTGTTACCTTCAGCAAACACACTTTGATTTCTCGGAACAGCAATATCTATTTTGTTTGATGAAAAAACCCTCTCCATCTCTATTGGCGTCTAATCACCTTCTCCTACTCTGTATCTTTTTACTGACTTATGTCTTGTCTCAGCGTTTCCTGTATTCTGTGAGGAATCCTTGCAGGCTGTAGCTAGTGGTGCTATCCTACTTATCCTACAGCTATAAATGTTTCAGCACCTTGTCTGCATTCCTTGCTGAAAGGGAACAGTTCTTTTTGTTTTCCTGTCTTGGTGCTCCCCCAATGATCCTTACATTGGATTTAAGAGAAAAATCAATGTTGATGTTCTGAGGGATCCTATGGTACTATTTTTAAGAGTCCCCCAAAGTAATTTGGTCCTGTTGTTCTAAAAAAGAAAAAAATATATATAGTTACCTTGACTAGTGGCTGATTAAATCCTCCTCAGAACTGCATTAATATGCAATGTCACATTGGACTTCAGGAAAACCTGGAATGATAGATGCCAAGCCCCAGAAAAAATGCATACCAGGTCCAGTAATGGCTGGCCAGATACACATTTGGGACTGACTGCTTTTGGACAGAATTACTCTGCTGAGCTGTAATGCTGCTATGGGGGCTGACACTGGCAAGCAGTCATTTTTGTGCAGAGAAAGGACTGTACAGGTATGACCCAAAAATTAGAAGAAATTGAGTTCCAGATGTTAAGGCAGAATGGTAGAATATTGAATCTGTGAAGACTGTTTTCAAAGCTTGACAAGAAGAGAAGGTTTAAAAAGAGATTCATTTCCCTTTGCGATTATTTTTTTCAGTGAGAGAATTTGAAAGCTCTATGTACCCACTCTTATAGCTCACCAATGTCATCAGAAATATTGTGTTTAACTCTTGTCATTTCCATATATCTTTAATAAACATCCTGTGTTCCTACAAGATCATATTTACCTTCTCTCTTCCAACTCCAGCAAATATTGGTCATTTTGATGCACAGCTTTCCTGTACATCACTGAAAAATGACCTAAACTTCTAAACACAGACCTGTGGCTTTCTATGCAAAGTGGGATTCAACAAGCTTTGGCAAGTCATTAAGGCATCAGGACAAAACCAAGTTGCTTGCAGGATCATCATACTGCTCCCTTGTTTAGTAAACACTGGAGATTTATAGCACTAAATTTAACTAACTATAGAGCGTGCAGTGCTATTTTTAGACCTGTTTTCTGTGAAAATGTTGCATATGTTATCACTCTGTAAATCAGTCTTCAGTCAGGTTGGTCAGGTTTGGTCAAATTTGACACAGGATTGGCAATCCAAAGCAGAAACTTTTTGAAAATTGATTCTTGGCTGGCAGAGAGGGACAGAGTATCTTCATTGATAAAAATAGATAAATAAATACATAAGTAAATGACCAATCCTTTGCCATAAGGAAGGCAGTAGGAATCCAGATGGGAACCTAGGGGACTGCAAGCAAGAATGGCAGTCACGGCTGGGGAGATGGGGCACCAGAGAGCCACAGGACAACAGGCAACAGCAGTGGAGTGACTTGGGATAAAACGGGGGGGGGGGAGGAAACTGTTTCCTTAATTCTCCTATTAAGGAAACAAATTGTAAAAATCATTTAATCATCAGTGATGAAAAGCTATGGCTGCCAACTGAGACATCTTGGCGTTGCACATAATGTTTGTTTTAGCACAGCTTGTTGCTTGCAGAAGGATGTTTTGCTAATTAGTCCTAAAAGTTACAGGAAGTTTGTAATGCACTTCTTTTACAACTAAACTGAATGAGTCAAGACAGTAGAGTTATTGTATGAGTAAAAAAAAAGCAGGATGAAGCCATTAGAGTATTCCAGTCATCAGATGTCATGAGCTTTCTTCATTACAAAGCAAAATTTGTCCTGAAAATAACAAATAAACAGAAAATCTCCACAAACCATCTCTTCTCTCTGTTCAGTGTGCTGAAAATTTCTAAATATGTGTCCAAAATTTCTAAATATGCAAAGCCCCGGAACCAAAAAAGGACACTGTAAAAAAACCAAACTGAAACCATAGTTCTTGCCAGAGTCACTAGTCTGCAAATATTCGAACTGGCTCATTACTGATAGGAAAGCTGTTGCTGTACGCTTGGACTGTTTGTCAGCCTAGATGAATAGGGAAAACGGGATAAAGAGATTTAATTAAGCTACTAAGAAGGGATATAGTCAGTAGTTGCATTCAGTTCAGATTTAGGGGAAGCAATGACAACAAAGTCTGGTGTTGACTGAACTGGAAAGAATTGGCTGACGTCCACTGAGCTCATGTTTTACCACCAGAAAATCTGGCCTCTATAGGTCTAGTGTGGACAGTTAGTCTGTCTCAGTCCACCTCATAACTAAAAAACCCCCAAAGACACACTAATTCAGGTTCTCCTGTGTATCAGGTATGACACAGTTGTCTAATTATAATCATCAGGCTCAAGTTGCAAAAATCAGAATTTCATGACTGGGAATGGAGGCAGGATTTTATCCCCCATGTCCCTCACATCTTCCTCTAAAGACAATTTTCTTTAACAGTCAAATTAATATTACATGGCTCTGAGTGTATGAAAGGGGACAAAAGGCTGGTAGTCTTCTATAGGTCCTGCTAGCACTAGAGGAAAGTTTTTTTGGTCTTCCCATACCTTGTGTGGGAGATGCGGCAGAGCTCAAGGCACCCAATTTACCTTCTCCTCAGAGGAAACATTTACATTTTTATTGAACTGGAGGGTCAGGGGTCTTCAGTTTTACAAACTTGGTCTTATAGCTAAGATTAGTGAATTTCTCCAACACTTGTCCTAGAAAAATAAAACCAGATTCCTTTTTCAAAACTAGTAAAAAGATTAAAATAGTAATGTATCTTAGAAGGAAACAGTCAGGTGCATAATATCAAAATATTTGAGCTCTGCTAGTGCTGGATTTTGTGCATTTTATACTGCACTACCCACAGAATACAATGTGTTTGTGCAATGCTATGTTACAAAAACTATCTTAAGTATTTAGTAAATTTGGCACAATTTTGATAGTCTTTGGTTAAAATGCAAACGTAGGGATTTAAGATTCAAAATCAAGGGTATCTGGATTCTAAGAATAATTCAGAGTTCATGTCATTCAGGTACTGAGAAAAGACTGAGATTGTGATTGAAAGACAAATATAACCCATTTCTTCACTTGAGTCCTCAGAGTCTTTTCTTGTTCAGATCTGTCTTCTCTTACAGCATTTTTGTGGCCAATGTTGATAATGAATACTGGAGTCCAGGAGCTCTCCAAGCTTTGGTGCCAAGAAGTCAGCACAAGTGATCAGCAACAATGTTTTGAAAGCACAGTTGTAGATTACTTTGTATATGTACACACATATATAGATCAAAACATAGGAAAAAACATATTGAGTTGAACAGAGCTCATCAGTGTCTTATTTGTAATCGGGTATTTTTCCCCCTCTATTTTCAGTAGTCCAGGGCACCATCACAGCTGGGGATAAGCAGGTGCAAAGAGCAATTATCCTATTTCCGGAGCTAATTGTGAGTTTCAATTAGGCAGCCAACTTACTGGGGTAAAGAAACTCATCACCATCAATTCTTCGGTGAGGAATAAGATCTTCTCATGTCATCATGACTAATCTATTTATTTATTTATAATAAACCATCGATGGTTGGTGTAATTCTCTTATCTAGCACAATGCAAAGGGTATACAGAGACCATAGAGAGGGAGACATCAATACAAGCCAGTGCGACACAGATGAACAAGCTTCTTTATAGTGGCAGTCTTATGGTTGCATTTGTAAAAGATTTATTGGTATCTGCACCAGAAATGAATTCCTACCCCTGCAAAAATCAAAAATCCTGCTGGCAGGTGCTCAAGGGAATTTTCCAGTGCAAAATAAATAAATAAATACCCAGGCAAAAATACCTTACATGAAAAAATCTAGCTGAGCTCCATTGTTTCAAAAGGCCTGCTCAAACCAAGATGCTTTACCTTTTAATATCTATCTATTTATGCATGCGTGCAGGGAACCTACCAACTAATTGGAATCATATTTGTAAGTCTACTGACAATTATATACTACATTGTAAATTCCAACATTTTGTAGTTCTCAAGCTGCCATGCAGAGCATGTTAGAAATAAATCCTTCATTCTTACATTTTTCACATTTTCCAACAGTTTTATTACTTTGAAGTGTCTTTGACTTTTATACATATAATATTCAAAAAATTAAAAAAAAGAGATCCCAATCTAAATCCTCAAACAAAGAAAATAAACTCCCCTGTGCCAATAAAATTGCACATTTAAGGGGAGGGGGGAGATATCTGGGCTACAAAGCTATTTTTGTTCCAGCTACATCAGTTTTATCTAGTTTAATACTTATTCTATGATCATTTGAAATTCAATTTCAGGTAGTTCTGTATCATATCAGCATAGGATGCATCATTAACTCTAAGAGGATATTTTCCATTGGCATCTGCTATTTTCACCAAATATCAAGGCTTGACATTTGCTATCTTTATCTGGTTTTGGTGTATCACTCATATTGACATTTTGTTTCTTCTTATCTGATAGTGATTTCAACTGTGACCAGCTGTGTTGCTAATAAAATCAACAGGCAAGTATCTGGCACTTAGTTCTTCACCAGTAGAGGAAAAGAAACAACCCAGTGACAAAAAAAAGTAAAGAGATACTTTTCAATTAAGATGCTTGCCTGTATCCTCATATTATCCATCTTTTAGCACTTCTGTTGATGTAGCATTTCTGATTGATTCCCTTGGGGAAGTCTCCATGGAAATCCTTGACTCTCAGATGAAATATTCCTTTTTGCTCTCATCCACTGCTTCCTGGAGAGTGGGATCATTTTTCAAAGCGGCATCTGCACTTTCAGCAAACTCAGTTCCTTTTGCCTCGTTGGTGTGGTAGGTGCCCTTATGCCTGTACATGTACCGGACCATCACCACCAGCAGGCAAATGAGGACAAATACCATGGCAGCAATCACACCTAGAGGAAAGAGACTAGTTATTTAACTTGCCTGTAATAAAGAATGAGCAGTATCTCACAGCCAGACATCACAACTTCAATTACTTGATAGGGAAAAGCCCATGTATCATAAGATGTTCGTGTGTTGCAGTGGCCAGTGTCAGAACTGAGTCTGACACTGCAAGAAACGAGATAGTAGGAATGCAGGTCAGATTCTCACTAGCTTTCTTTCAAACCAATGGCTTGGAGCTAAAAGTTCATTACAAAATGAGGAGAAATAAAAGAACATAAAGGAATATCTAATGAAGTTTGCAGGCAACCCAACCCTGCCTCCACAAGTATACTCAATTTCAGGAGAAGTAGAAGGCACTGAGTATTTCTTAGAAGACATTCACCAAACAGCAGGAGCCATATGACTGCAGTACTGCTCTGTATTTGCAAGCTGCCATTTCATGCTGTGCTCTAATTAAGAAAGTCTGAGTGTAATGAATGTGGAAGTGACACTGGGAGGAGGAAGGGATTCTGGGTAGATCTTTCCTGTCTCCTGGACTAAGGCTAATTACTAGCAATGTGTTGACTGGACAAAAATCTCCACATGTAACCCAAACGTGCATAGGACTAAACGGTGAATGGACGCACTCTTAGTGAAGGAAAGTAAATTCAAGTTCCAGGAGTGGTTCTGCACAGAACACTGTGTCCTTGCTTCTCAGAGCCCTTTGCTTTTTTATCTTTTCTAATGTGAAAAGTAGAAGTCCATAAAAGAGAGGCACCCGTGACAAGTCCATTTCTTTACAAAATTACAAGCTGTATCCTCTTCCTCCCAGATCAAATTGTTCACTTAAGAATCCTGAAAACAAATGAAGTATTTTCAAGTTTATTCAACTTGTGTGATTTTTATTTTTTTAACGCTTTTTGCATACAAATGAGATGTGCTTATAAACACTTTAGCTGTGATTCTGTATAAGTACATGATGCTGAGCTGATTCTATATACACATGACTCCAGGAGTAAACTAAACATTAAAGGAATACACAATAAAAAGCACCAGAACAGGACATTCCTAGGAAAATCCCATATGTGGACTGTGAAGCTGCTGTGAGGATGTAATAGGTAGGAATTAATCTGACTCGTATGCATCTACAGTTCAGGAGGCTCCATCTGAGTTACAACCCTTGGGCTTCCTCTACTGTCAGTGAACAGTGTATCTCTGGGGTGATTCCTCTTCTAGAACTGAATTCCTATGTTTGGTCAGACGAATTGCTCCCTGGAAATGCCTACAATTCTGCAGAGACAATGAGGGGTATGTAGTCAGTATCTCTCTTCTGTGTCCCCTGTGTTCAAGAGAGGCAGCGGGAGTGGGTGTCTCCAAAGCTTTAGATTTACCAGCATCAATAAACTGAGTGGGGATACCCTATTGGCATGAAAACAGGGGAATGGACAGCATATTAGCAGGGTAAATAAAAATTATAACTGTGTGTTAGAAAATATGCCTGCAATGTTATCCCACAGATTTTATGGTGTCTGGTTCTAGAAACTGAATTTACTGCTAGCAGAAATGAAATTGCTTATACAAAGAACTTTAGGTTTACAATATCATAGTTGCGGTGAGGGCTTCATCAATTTTTAGGACCTCATTGGTATCCCTTGACACAAGAGGCTTTAATAGGCTTTGGATGTAGCACAATATTAATAAGCCTAAGGGACTAAGTACAAATCAATTTACCTGCTTCTTGTTCATAGAAAGCTGAAATTAAAGTTACGGGAGATGGGACCTGGGGGAAATATAGCAGAACCTCACCAATTTGCACTAATGATTGGTATACCCCCTTGTGAATGACTGAAATTAGTGTGTTAGCATGGAAATGAACAAACACAATAAAAATAAAAAGGCAGGTTCTCTCTGTGAACATAGCTTTGCTCATTTATTCTGACAACTGTATTTAGTTTAAATGCATGAGAGAGCTTTAATGGAACATGAGGAAATGCACTGTGGTATATTCTGTAACAGTAAAGGGCCAGCTGATATGAGCTAGCATGGCTCAAAGCAAAGGTGCTACACCAGTTCTGTATTAAATGACAATCTTGACCCGCTGAACAATGAAGAATATCAGAGGTTGACTTTGCTGCTGGACTCTTAGGTATTTTGTCTTAAAATGAGGAATGGATGGGGGTGGTACTGCTCACTGTATGGTTTATGCTCATTATCTCATCTCGTTATCTTGCCAATAGCCCCTCTGGGAGCAGATTTCCCACTGGCCTAATTAACTCTAATTGTGCCACTCCTGTTGTCTTGTCAGCAAAGCAGGGGTTTTGCAAAATGCAAGAAATCAACCAACCTGCTGTTTTAATTCTAATGGTGTTGCTTAGTATGGTCTGCTACTTACCTCCAATAACAGCCACATCTGCTCCAGCTGTGGGGCTCTCGATGTCTCCATCTATAAATAGATTAGAACATACAAAAGTTAATTAAAGAAAAAGGAATTGGATCATATGTAACAGCAATGACTGCACTGGTGGTGGTATATTATTTTAACCTCTGAAACTCAGAACTTAAGCAAGATCTCTCATTAGCAAAAGACATTTATGAAACTTCTCATTAGAGTTAGCTGTACTGTAACAGTTTTCTGTCACTATAACACTGGAAAATAAATAGCTAGCACATTATGCAAACTATCATGGCCCTCAGGGAAACACCTACTGTTTATTATGAGCACTTACCTGTAACATTCTCCAGTGAATGATTAAATTAAGAATGTTTAGGTACTGTGATTACTCTCAGAAAGGTAGTTTTGGGGAAAAAATGTTGGTGCCTATTTATTTTCCCATTTATGGCTCTTCAGAGTATGGTTTGGATCCTGATTTGATGCAAATTAATATGGCTCTATTGATTTCAATTAGTATTTATTTATCTACAATATCCTGTTTTTTAATCTTAGAATTTGTTTTCTTTTAAACTTACATTTGGAATCAAGGCAAGCCTGTTATGTGTTTGGTATAAAACAGAGACCCCAATTAGAGTAAGTCTGAATTCAGTACTAGTAAATCAAAATATGTTATTTACTGGATTATAAATTATATAAAAAAAGATAACTTTGCAATTTAAATGCAAAAGGGAAGTACCTGACTATGTCTTTTTACGAAGTAAGAAATTGGTCTGAAAAGCTGTAAGCTGATAAAAGGGCAGTTAGAATTGGAATTACATTTTTATCTTAATTATAGCACTAACTAAGAATATCCAAAACAACTAATGTATAGCCAAAGTGTTTTAAAGGGGAGAGGAAAAAAAATCCTAAAAGACAGTGAGGATTTTTCTCTCATTATTTGATACAGACCTTAAGTGAAAGTAAATTCACATAGACAAGCATTTCTTCACTAGCTTCCCCTTAGTTGATCAGGGTACAACTGTGATCTTGTTTTCTGTTCCTTATTTCATGCCATTGGTATCAGCCCACTTAGTCCTGAATTACGTGGATGTCTAGGCAGGTGATGAACTCCTGGAGTTTTTCCATGCTAGGTTTATGACAGGACACTCCTTTCTTTGTTTATTATTTTACTATTTATACAATTCTAAATTATATTTGTTCCGAACAAGGTAAATAGCTTTATGTGAGGTCTTTTTTTATTTCCCTCTGGTAAATACAGTGGATAGAAAAGTTCTCTGGAAAAGGAACATACAAAAATATGAAACATACAAAAAAGGAACATATAAAATAATGGAAATGCTAATTCTAAATCCTTCTATAAATTCAACAGTGGCACTATGGCTGATATCTGGCGCTCTTTTTGCTAAATCTGTGATATATGATGCCAAGCTAAGACATTACCAGCAGCTTTCTCCTTACTCATGTCCACTCTCTTGTATCAAAGTGCAATAAACTGAGAGCTGAGATTCAAAGGATTCCCCTCTGCACAAACACGGGAGATGCTTTTTCTAGAAAGCAAGAGTACTTTCTTCTCCCTCAAAGACCCTTCCCACATTTTCTTCCAGCTATATGCTGATGGAAAGATTAGGCACACCTTATGTAATTTAAAAACTCTAATTATGTCTATGTCCATTAAAAACCCACGTGTCCCAGAAGAGATTAATTGCTTCAAGGTCAAACTGTTCTGTATTTCTTTATACACTAAATACATGCTGCACACCAAAAAAGCAGGCTCCTCTACAGCAATCAAATACTTGAAGGTGTAAATTCTAAAGTGCTTCCCTATCCACACAGCTTGGTTCCAAACATTAATTCCAGATCAAATCATTATCTCTTTAATTATAAAAAGATATGCGAGCAACTGTCTGCTCTTTCCTGTCATTCCCAGGTGCCTCTCAGATTCAGATAACAAGCAGGTGCCTTATCTCTAGTACTTGCCACCACAGTGCTTTTTGATAATGGATTACAGTACCATCATGTTGCAGAAAAGTTTTTGTTTCCATACTGTACTTTCTAAGTTCTCAGAAGAATGCTGGACCCATCTTGAGCTATCATGTAGTTGGCATTGAGCAACCAGCTAACACCGTGATGTGGCTTCACGCACAACAGTTCCCATTTTACTGCAAGCATGAAAGTCTGACTTCTCTGTTGTGTGTCAACTTTTGACCAGGGAACAGGCTTGCTGTCCTCCCAGGTGGCCTTTTGCTGCATCATCTGGAGTACCAGGACATTGCAGCTACCACAAACGACCAGAAGTTTCTAGGGTCTGCTCCCCAGATCAGTTTTGGAGCAACAATGATGGAGAGGAGAGAGGGACTCTCAATGTCTGTCTCACAGTCTCTGAAATTTCACTTTGTCGAAAAATAGCTATGTGATTATGACAACATCACAATATTGCTAGGCAGGGAGAAGATATCAGTGTCATTCAAGATTCAAGCAGTATCACCTTTCACCAAATATGATTGAGGAAAATGCAAGGCATGTGCTCATGAAATTAGGCCATCTTCCCAGAGCAGGGGTGAGATAACAGCCACTATCCAGATGGGACCCCATGCTTGGCCAGGAACCTCAGCATGGTCTCTCTAGACTTCAACTCAGTCTATGTGAGAAACACACTGCATTACTATGGGACTGAATCTCCACTTTCTGAAGCAGAAAATATATCCAATGTACCGGAGGAATTTTTAGCTGAGCAATTGCTATAGGCTTTGGCCTTCTTGTACCTTCTTTATTCTGCTTTTCTTAGCGTGCAGAGCACTCAGAGGTCTGTGTTTCAGTAATTGCTTTTGCACCTGTTTTGGTTATTTTCGCTTGTTTCAAGGACATCTTTTGTGTTATCTGCTGCTAAGTTGTCCTTGCAAAACTTCCTCTCAGTGTTATACTGGCCCTTGCCCACAGTTACAATCTGTTCTCCTAAGTGTTTAGACAGTGTTGTCATGTAGTGCCATTGGTTACCATGACACACAGAAATCAAAAGATTGAGGGAAAACTTGTTTTTCATAAAATCTCTGGCCATCAGAATGAGTTGGCTAAATCAAAAATAGAACATACAAATCAAATTGCCTGTTGTTGGAAAGTATGATTCTAAAAGCCGTAATGAAGGGAAAGAAATGCCTTTGTGCCATGACCTGAAATTAATCAAATTCCAGTTCTGCCCATGAACTTACAGATAAGGAATTTTGCAATAGAACGACAATTGCTACCTGTCTTATTCTCATCAATCAAATCATGCTGAGAAGGCAGCAGCCTCTGAAAGCCCCAGCAATATTCCTGACTTAAATGTTGCAAGCATATCTCTGGCTTTGTGCTTCAAAGATGAAAAGCCAGTACAACTAGCTTTTATGTTCATGTAGCCAGTGGTGAGTTTTTCGTGCTAAATTTGTTGGTAAATTTGTTAAATCATCTCCTCCAGGTGTGATTTTCCAATAAAACTTGACTTTTATTAATTTTGATGGGTTTTTTCTAGTTTAAACTGATCCCATTCCATTTTGACTGAGGAGCACTTGTTTGAAGGAGGCAGGTCCAGCAGTGAAAATGTTTGTTTGAGGCTCAGCACTCTCCTTGTTTTGCTATGCACTTCTCCTGGCAGTTGTAATGGTTTCTTTTTTTCTTTAAATTATAAATCCGAACCACTAAAAGCCATAAGTCACTTCCTGCTCAAAAATTGACACTGGCCTTAAAATACTTTAAAACTTTTTTTATTTGCCTTTTCTTTCATACCTGAGCTTCATTCAAGTCTTACTTTCAAGCCCTTCTCTACCATACCAAAGACAAAATGTGCTTTGTATATGAAAACTGAGTTTTTGGCATGATTTTGTGACACCAGGAAACAGGTCTTTAAGGAAAATACAAAGTATTATAAGAATCCTGATAAAGCTGCAAAACTTATCAGTGAGCTACTTTAGAAGCATAACTATGTAAAGACAACCAAACTGACAAGCCATTCAACTTACATAGTGATGGGAAGGGGCATATTTATTCCCCAAATACTTTCTCCCATCCAGCATAGAAAGCACAGATTTTAGATCTTGCTACTTGCAGAAAACAATGCCTTAGTGTGCTTCTCTGGCTACTGTAAGTGACACATGGAACAAAATTGCAGAGAGGTTCAAGCTTTCTAATTTTTCAGGCATTATTTTTGCCTACTAAAGGAGTTTCCAGAAAAAAATCTGGCACTTGCACCCTTAGTGGTTTTGCAGTCAGCACTGTAATTAGCAATTTAAGTACCTTCATATTTGCTTGTTATGGATTTACACATGGAAAAGCTATGAAAGGAAAACTGTACCTGCAAAGGGATCTCCTTTTGGCACATTTGATATGAACGCATGGGAATCATCCTACAGGACAGATCTAATCTACTGGTGTGAACTACCAAATCTCTACTGTGTAATCCACAATGGCAATTTGATGGGATAATACAGACCTTACCCCAAACTTCTCAGTGTCTCTCTCATTTCCTAAGATAAAGCTCCAAACTAAAGCTAGACAAGTGTTTACTGCTAAGTAGTGTTGAATATAGAAAGAAAAGCCCGAGATTACAGCTCACGTCACAATTTCCTTGCAGCTGTGGGTGATACTGCTGTTTTGGAGTGGGTGAGTCAAGCTGAGTGAGTATATAGATAGCTATGTGTGATAAGCAGCTTTTACAGCGCAGTTTTCAAAGCCACTCAACACCAGTCAGGCAGCACTGCTCCTGCCCCTGCCTTTCAGGATTTTCCTACCCACAAGCTTGTACTTTCGATTCTTAACAATGTAAGTCATCTCTTATCATGATGCTCCATTGCTACCTGCTTGTGGTTACAATCTCAGACAAAGCCTTGGCTGCTAAATGACAGTCAAGTGGGTCTCTAAGTGCTTCCTTGGGCAACCCATTTTCTCTCTTGATGTGCCTGTTCATTGCCTAAGAAGTACTTGAAATCCATTCATTCCCTGTGAATGATGAGCTGAGCTCCTTGGGGCACATTTCCTTCTTAGGGCTTTCCTAGGTGTGCAGACTAGGAAACACGCTATAA